TACAATCAACCACATCCGTTCACATCCGCAATCGAAGCCTTGGGCAATCATATTGTTCTTACTCAATATATAAGGGTGCTTCGTGAGCTCTACAACTTCGTGACCAGGATTTCGCCATTCTATGAAGAATTCATAATCATCGTGAAGAAAAGGGTTTAACAGGGCGATACCATCTCACCCAAACTTTTCAGGGCCGCTCTCGTGAACATCATGCGTCATTTGTAATGAAAAGGCATGGGAGTGAAAGCCCACGGATGCTGCTATCATCATCTCCGCTTTGCGAATGACATTGCGCTTATACATAACATCGTAGTGAAGAAGACGATGACTCTACCCTCAACTTTTCATTACTGCGGTCCTTCCTGCTTTGGCATACGCCTCAGAGACTTGGGCTCTACGAAAGCAGGATGAACATGCAGTTAGCGCCTTTCAACCTTGCAGTAAATTCCGCACTTTCATTCTATTTGTTGATCCACTATTACCGATGTCATCAATACCCAATGAACCCTCCACACACTTCTGGTGTCTCGGCCAAAAGTGGTCTCAATTCATAAGAAACGCCTGCAAGGTGGACCCCCTGGTGCCGTAATAAGCGTTGTGTGAAAAAAGGGACGATCGAGGGCGGAAGTAAGAAGAAAACAGTCACGCGCGACCAATCAGTAGAAGGGACTACGGGAAAGCAAATAAGGCGTTTGCGCGGACTTTTGAGATGTAAGTAGAAACGAGGCCGATCAGGACAGTCCGTTATTCTGTGTTGGATCTGCGCTGAAGCCTCGACAATTGCTGGTCACTGCCGACGTCTGCCATCCCCACCGCCGATCTTTTTCGCCACCATTCCTTTCAATGGTACTTTGATCACTTTGTTTCATTGCCATTGTTATTTTACTGTTCTTACGAATTCTCTGATTTTTTTTTGTGTGCCGTCACGGAAAAGATCTGTTAGACGGCACAATACACTGCAGTCTAAGCATTAGGCGCCTTTCCGTATTCTTCCTTCTACATATAGTCCTGCTCACGAAAACGTAATACCATTTCCTCAGCGAAGAATAACAAAGTTCATATGTGCCTCCGCACAATTTGTTGACCGTACTCGTCCATAGTGAATACACAAGAACGGTCAGTGGTTAAGGGCGTCATTTATCAATTCGTTCATTATGCACTCAAGGTGCACCATCAGCAAAACATAATAGTAAAGGAAAATACAGAAAACTCGTACATCGTATATATTCACAATTATATTCTGTAATTGTAACCGGCGTTACATCAAACGATTGACTTTGGCACAACACGTAAGATGAAGCAAATTTCACATTGCGTTCCGATCACCAAAAAGTGAGGTATTAGGTTTGAAAGAAAGCAGGAACAACAGATTTTTCGAACACATACAGAGGTCTCAGAATCACGAAGGTTTCCCTGAAGTAGACAATGACCTCAAAACAAATATACACTGATTTATACATGGAGGAGAATATTTTGTAGAAAGAGAACAATAGGGATTTACCGTATGGAGACTCTTCTCAAAGGCTCGAAAAACGCTGTTTATGTGCTTGAAGAGCTATTTAACGATGGCGGCATCTCCTCATCATGGATTCCTGCTCTTATATTTGCTGGTACTGAAAATACTGAAATAACAGTGAAAAGTGGAGAGGAGAGGAGGAGGAAGGTGGTGGCAGAAAAGTGGAAATATATTTCTATATCCATTTGAACTGCTAGAGGGTTGCTCGGCAAGTAAGTACAATTTTTGAAAATGATTTTTCTCAAGTCGTAGCTAGAGGACTGTTGTTGTTTTCCACGATATATGTAAAACATAGGCTGACACTGTCTTATCACAGAGCACATAAGAAAACTAGTTCATTAATTTCCATTCTGGCACTCTTCACTTCAGAGTGGGCCGACCAGTAGGCATGGATGATGCCTGAATGCACATTATTGATCAAGGTTCGATCCAGGAGAACTTTTCCTGTGAAACGCCCGAAAATCGTAATTACTTTCCGAACAATCTAGTATTTAATTGAGCTTGGACTAGTGAGATGATGAGATGTCTAGTACAGTCAGGCCAAAGTGTGTCCAGGACTGCTTCCAGGCAATGAAGAATTAAAATTCTGGTTTCGATGAATCGTTCTTTGGGAAGCGTCTGAGCTTCCGTTAAGAATATATCCAGTGACGCTTCAGTGAAAATGCGACATCCGAGTCTTGTTCGGAGATTTTTACCTACGCGAGCGCCGTACTGTCTACTTGACCTTACCCATCGTCGGCTGCATTTTTGCTCTTGGAAGGGATGAATTTTGAAAGCTTCAAACGCCTTACGGCTTTATAGGCTTTGAAAACTCTATGAACTTGCGCCGTAATATTTCACAATGCTGTGCCGTACAGATTTGTAATGATGAAATCATTTGTTAGGTTGAAGCTTCGACTAACTCGTCGTCTTCAAGAGCCTGAAAGTAGTTCGGAGCTTTTGTTCTTTCCTGACCAAGCGTCGAAATGCACTAGGCCAGTTGCAACTACTCTCAAAAACTCAAACACCGAAACATCCTGCTAAGAAGTCAACCTCCTGCCCTTCCAACAGCGTTGTCGTGGCAGAAGTTCACCCGTTATGGCAATGCACTCATTTCGGTTGTTCAGCTCAGGATTCCACTTGCGGATATACAATGCTTCCAATATCTTTCTAGCACCGATTTCTTTCTCTTAGGCTGGATTTCGCATTACATATGAAATCTACCGTATTCTATTCTCAAACATAGTTAAATTTCAAAACACTAAAACTTCGAATTTAAATACTTGAGAGAATTCACCTAGTTGTCGTGCTTCATTTGTATGGATTTGTATTCGTTGACTTATTACCGCGATGTCCGCCTCACTTGTATCTGAGAGAACATTTCTAAAATATTATATAAAGGATGTAATAGGAAGGGGAAAATTTGGTCCACTACCCTGATCATTCTTCAATTGAACTCTATCTAATAAGGAATATCGGAATTGCTAACGTACTGATCAGAGCTAAAGATTTCAAACTAGTATGACCCTGTAGTGGATCCATTTGCAAGGTTCCCCTTCGGAAATACTCAGAGAGCCGTCGAAAAGAAAAAGAAAATGCCGGCTTAATAACGCCTATTTTCTCAGAATATGTGGCTCAAAGGATCTGAGTCGGTTCCTTCTGCTCACAGCGGACGCCATCAGGAAAAAAACTCATGGGTGAACCATCGAAGATCATTTTCCACGCCAATGATATCTCTCTGATGGTGGAGAGCAGAGAACTGCAGAACAAGTTGCAGAAATAGCAGAAGTGCTGGCGGAGAATGAGATCCGGTTTATCGTAAGGAAGACCGAGTTCTTCAGCTCCGAACACAGAGTCTTTAGACGGTCTCGAAGAAACCGTCTAAAGAGTTCAGGACTTGCAACATTTGGACTGAAACCATTCCTCTGATGGCAGCGTAGACCAGGTTGGAAAGGCCCAAAAAAAAACGGCACGGATGAAGAGGACGGAGAAAATTGGTTGGTTATGAACGGAACTTTGGCTTTGAACAATTCGAACCCGTACTTGTGCTAGCCGGTCACCGTGCTCTTATCCTCAACGCCCGACCATGACTGACCTGACCGAAACTCCACTTGCCTTCGCCTTCATTATGGCTTTTCCCCATAGCCTATCAATGTCCGCGCGTACATGTAGTCCAGTGTTATTTTCTGTGAGCGGCGATGCTCAGGATGCTTAAAGGAAAGGTATACAGAACAGTGGTAATGCCTACCACGCTCTACGGCAGCAAGTGCTGGTTTATCAGTAAAATTCACGAAAGACGGCCTCAGTTCGTTAGAATAAGGATGCTCAGTTGAGCCTGCGGCTGGTCTATACTGCATCAGATCAGGAGGGAGGACATCAAGGCGATCATGCAAACAGCCCCCGTCTAGCTGAAGATGAGAGAGCAGTCTGCGACTTCAGGGACAAGTGCGGCGAATGCAAGAGAATCACGTCATAAGAAAGGCAATAGGGTTCAAAGCGGAAGGAAAGAGACCACGTAACTCACTGAAGAAGAGGAAGCGGGACGTGGCCGTGGCCTCTTCGAAACCATGGTAAGAAGGATGCCGGAGAGAAATGTGGCGACAATGACGAGAACAGCGGACCGTATGATCGGTGGGATACACGCTCGGGAGAAGAAGAATATGTAGCTCAGAGGCTGCAGGGAACTTGAGAGAAACTACGAGTTTTCAAATTAGTCTATTTTCGACCAATTACAATGCCTTTTGTGTAAAGTATGTAGGGCGGAGGAGGTGTAGTGGCATTAGATGCGCTATTACACACACATGTCCACGGACTCAAACCCTGAATTGGTATCTCTCTAGACCAACCAAGCCTTCCATCCCTCCGGTTTCGGATGATTGACAATCTTGGTTTGAAGACACAGTCCACGATAAATTTTGAGGTACCCCTTTTTACGGGAAAAAAAGCGGAATTATAGGTTGGGAATAGTTCATGGGCAGCGAAAAGAGCAAGTCGATTCGCCGATTTCGAAAAAATAAGGCTCCCAAAACAGTGAAAATAGAGCTTGGACGAGATTACCGTGACGGAAAGAACATAAAGCAACTATCCGGACGAGATTTCAGTTGCTGCATTTGCGCAAAGAGCTGATTACATCAAGCCTGAACTGTACAGAAGTGCCTTCCACTGACGCTGTGTGCCAGGACAAGCTGTTTGAGCTTCCTACATGGGTTCCCTCGTGATCTGTGCAGCCTGTACAGCGCCGGTGTAACTCGTCCGAAGGTCTTTGTGCAATCTCTGCAATGTTTGTGACTTTGTAACGCCCCATATACATAGGTCGTGGCGCCGTGGCGTTTCGAGCTGGCAGCGCCACATATGGTGTACGAGGGGATCACAAATGTATCCCGGTGGGATTTCTCATAAGCCATTTTTATCGTGAACTTTAATCGGCAACCGAGACAAGAACCACAATTTTTTATCTGGTTCCATTTCAGTGTAAGCAATATTATTCGACTGTCCTTCGTAAAACTTACCGGCTAAGGGCTAAGGTGGGAGTAGTGCATGATCCACCACTTTGTTCGAGGGGCGATCCTGCGAGTTCTTGTGAGTCAGTGATAATTTGAGAACTTCTGACTGAGCCGTAGAGTGGCGGGGGCTCCTCTCTCTTGAACAGCTCATCGTAACCAGGTGGAGCATCAGCGAAGCCGTAGTTTGATACGCCTCCACTTTCTAAATGTTGCTATCGGTGAAAGCTCCAAAGTGAAAAAAATTTCAGTGACGAACTGACCAGGAGCGAAGCTGTAGCCGTGATTGTGCTGCGAAGCCACGGCGACGTTCCTTGTTTGAGTCCGTCTGGTTTGTTCATCTTGCTCGCGCCTAAAAAGGTGGAATCATTTCGAACTAATTCTTAACTTTGTGATCAATATCCCACTATCACTCAACAAAAAGTTCCAGAATGGTTAAACGTAAGCAAAATGAAAATTCGTACCCAAAATGTCCGTACTACGACATTCTTGTAGTCCTTGGTAGCCTCTACTTCCCATATGAGAGCACACTACTGTCATCAATACACCTAATACCGTTTCAAATAGGAATGTTAACACGCAATCAAACGTTTTGGTGATCACTAATCAAAAATTGCACCCCCTAGAGAACGAACAAACAAACAAACAGACAGACAAACAGGCAGACAGGCAGGCAGGCAGGCAGACAGACAGGCAAACAATCAGATAGAGAAGCAGGCATACTCTTTCGCTTTGCTCGGCTCTCATGAGAGGTGAACAAAAAGCAAAAGTCACCTTTTGTATGCACAGTAGACAAATAGTATTCGGGCAACGCATATCAACGCAGCTAATGTGAGGATCGAGGAGACCAAGAGGACGAAAAACTGAGTGTAGTTGGTTTTGTTGTCTTCAGATCTGAAAAACGGTACCGTTAGTCAAGATGCCTCGTCTGTGCTCGTCGCAAAAGTTACGACTTCGGTAGGGTTTTCAAGAAAGCCGAGGGAAACACGAGTTTATATCTGTAATTTCCGCTTGACAGTTATTCACTTTGCTTACTCTTCTCAAATTTGAATAATCTTGATATAATCTTCTTTCAGGGCGGACCTGGTGTAGTTGCAGAGGTGCACTACCACACACGCATGGTCACGGGTTCGAACCCCTAGTCGGTACCCACCTAAGCCAGCCAAGCCTCCCATCCAACAGTTAGTTGTTACCGGGCTCGCCTGGGAAGATGAAAGCAGTGAATTGCGCATCGACTGGCCACCAAGTCATTGTATAGGCCACATACGCATTCAAAACGCCACTACGGTTCGTGACAGAGAGGCTCATTTTTGCGCATCAAGCGTGAAGCAGAGCAACTTCCCAACCGCAGATTAGCCTGATTCTCCCGTCAAGGCCAGGTGCGCAATTGAATGAGTCTACACTTCTGATTCGCAGCTAAACTCATGGCATATTCTAGAGACAAAAACTTGCTGCGTAGACTTTCGAAACAGAAAATACTGCACCTGTACTTGCCGTAATCTGCCTCAAATATGAGCGTAAACTACAAAATTTAGTTTTTTTTTGTCATTAGTCGACTCAGAAATTCCTTTTACGTTGCGTGTAGTATCGACCCAGCTCTTCACGCTAAAAAGCCTGTACGTAGAGTTATGTGAGAGCTATCATATGAAAAACTTCATCTCGAACAGTCATCTTAAGTTTAAAAATCCTGTTTTGAGAAAGAAAACCCATGGAACCATTAAATGGAGTACAGCCAATGAGTGCTCTGCAGGAATTTTCTGGCAGACATGGAGATAAGCGCTTCTACTGCTGTGTGAACTTCGCTATCAGCACGCGACATACCCTAGTGAATTGATCAGCGTTCATGTATTCCCCAATCAAACCAAATTTTAAGACTGCAGTATTTCAAATCTCCAGAAAAAATGTTATGCAGTAATACATTGACCATCCCCGATGAGAAGTTTCTTTGCTTCCATCATCGACAAAGTCAGAAGTTTGGGATAGCAGCGCGCAATACATGAGATTTTAATACGGTATGGTACGATAGGAGTAGCTTTGAGGAAGCCATCGCACTGGCAACGAGCGGCACCGGCAACCGTGTCAGAAAATTTGGACAATGGGCCTGACGCTGACGAACAGTGGTTATCCTCTCCCCAAAGTCTCCCTATGCCGTAATCGATCACATGATCACATAGGTCACACGATGATGTCGGACTTGTGAGTTCGGCTGGGAGTTTGGCAAAGGAAGGACATATGGTAGAAACTCGCATGCGGATGGTCTGTGTATCATTGGGTGTATTCAGTATGCGGAATCGAACGGTATGCACCATATCCGTCGTCTTTCCTCGGTGATTATATCGAAGATTGTTATATCATTATTGTATGTCGGGTACTGATACCGAGACCCAATAGAAACAACTACATGCAACAGAAATTTGAAGGTATGTCTCAGAATCAGGTTTTTTCCCAAGATGACGCTTCGGACTCGAGAAGCAGAGCTCCATAGTATACAGATTGCGCCACAAATATGGTAACAAAATAATTTGGCTACAGAAACATCAGTTCGTATTGTTACATAGTGGATTTATGTGAACTATTTACTATGCATTGCATCCACGAAACGAACATACGGTCATCTTATGTATATAACCGTCTCCTGTGCTAATTATAGCTCGAAGACGTTTCCACTACTTATCGACGGTGGCACGCAGAGTTTCTTGAAAAACTCTAGCCCGGACTTTTTTCTGTAATTTCGAAGTAGCAGCAACAGTGATGCGTACTGAAGCGCAGGCTTTCCTCTCCAGTGTGGACTATATCCAGCGACCCATCACATTGTGGTCGATTCGCAGGATTGGAAGGTGGGATATGGTCGTGAACATTCCTTCAGCACAGGTCTCGATCTTTTCCCATTCATGAGCAGTGCGCCGTAGTTTTCAAATCTGTTCCCTAGAACTAAGTCTCAGCTGCAACCTTCCAGAAAACGCTTTCTTAAAGAGGTTCGGAATAAATTTTGTGTTTTTCTCGACCAAAATTTGCGATACCGCTCTGATGGTAAAGATTCTAGCCCAAACTATCATGAAAAAAGAAAAAGGCTTTAAGAGGCGTTCTGACTCTTCCCAACGGCTTCAGTACTCGTACTGTGAAATATACGTGTACTTTGGTATCTCAAAATTTTTTTCGCGTCGAACACCCTTTGGTCAGAAAAAAAATGTCGAAGCGCGAGTCAAGTAGCGCACAGCTTTTGTTTTTTCTCTTCAACTTCTTCCCGTCAAAAAGCTTATAAGGCTTTCGAATATTATCTGAATACAATTGTATTTACTCTGTGTAGACTCTCCCCATCGAATTAGAACATGCAAACAAATCAACAGCCATTTTTCTTGTGTTTCTGCAGGTTCAGCAACGTATTCCTTCCCAAGCGATTGGATTCGGAAAAGGGGTCGTATGTTAGGCAAGACGACCGTATTGAGGTTCTCTGTTGACCTGTCTACGCAACGCGGTTCAAGAGACTGCCATTTGGGAAATGTTGAAACGAGGAACGAACCCGGAAAAGGACTACCCAAATGCGGGCAAAGACGTACATAACAGTCGGTGGATGCCCGCGAGTCTCCGCCGTTTCTCGAAATCTAACGAATTGAGAGTACCAAAGTAGATGTGTGGACTAAAGTATATCATAAACATAAGGGGAGGTGCAGATTTGCAGAAACCCTCCAAACAAGGACGGACGTGCCAAAAGTGTTACCATATTCATGACGCACCCTGTATTTATTGTTAGAACAATGCTATTTATAACGAGGAACGAAAAAGCGCAAGTTCCTACTCTCCCCGTAAATTAAAGATTCTTCATGATGGATTCTTCATCTGCTTGAGTTTTTTTAACTTGAAGGTCCAACTACTGATTGTAGGTGTGCAACTTTTTTGGGCAATCATGCAAACTACTGACACTGCTGTGGGTAACACAGGCAAATCCCGTAATCGTCTAGGAATGCGTCTCGTGCTTGAACAAGCACTAGTTATCGTTTGGAACACCAACAGAGATAAAGGAAGGGAGCAGTCCAGTACAGCGGAATTAACCACTCCATACCACTTATTTTGCAGTAAGCACAAGCAAACACTGAGATGTGTTTTCAAAATTGCTCGCTGGTCCCGCTCGAAACCAAAAATGCAACCCGTTCCCCTCACGTAGTTTTCACCGCTCCTGTATGTTCACCGATATAAGCCTCCTCACAACATACTTCTTTGCCACGGTAGCAGAATACTTAGATTTTCCTGTGGCATAGCAGAATACAACACTTGCAGCATCTGTAAAAGCATTTGCATTTGCTCAATCCTGAGTGATATCAACCTCCACAAGCCCGCTGGACGCGCTCTTTCTTGAGAGAGTTGAGCAGCAGTGAGTGTCTGACAAGATTTTTAGCTCTAACTGCGCCCTACCTAAGCCGCTCTGACCCAATGGCGCTCCATGTGAATCTTCCAGGGGTCGTAGATCAATGAGGAATCTTTGAAAGAATCGCCCAGGTGATAACGAATCGTATAGTACTTTATTCCTTGGTTCTTGCGAAATGAAGAAATCACTGTTACAATTTTTTGCGAAAATAATCGGTAGTTTTGACAGCGATAATTCACAGTCAGAAACGAGATAGATAAACTTCGTTAGTTATTGACAAATTCGTTAATGTTGCTTTTTTTTGATGGCCCACCTGGGAGTGGTAGTAGAAGTGGTAGCGTAGGTCTCCTCAAACTGCTGCTTTGCAGATGGCTCCATGATTAACAGCCTATAGATCTAAATCTGATTATCGCTCGCAGTAGGTTTACGATCAATCGATGTAAGGAAAAATAAGAAAGAGGTACACAGAGCTTTTCAAAGAATCTGACGCTAATAATAGGAAAACAAAGGGCAGCTATCAGCGAATAATGTGCTTCAGCTTACAGCATTGTTGCTGTCGCAAATGTGACTTCTTTTTATTGTTTTCGTTTATTCGTTGTTTACCTCTCGTTTTCTCTCTGTCGTTTGGTTCTGATCGGGCCTATTCGATTATAGATCTGCACAATGACCTGGCGGGCTTGAGGCAGCTATAAAAGAGCAAGTCTCAAGTACAGTGGTTCGATATCGTATCATGTCTCAAGCCCCGATCTCCTCACTCAACCTGTTACGTTCACTTGTCTCAAGTAAACATTCAAGTAATTTTGTTCCTTACTGTGAGCTCAAGTGATGTCATCTCGACAACTCAAGTAGAGCGTCTTTGAAGGGAATCTATTCAGGACTCCAAATGGCATCGCTGTCTCCAGCCTAGTCGGAAGCAGTCAGCCATCTCGAGTTGTCCTAAATATATATTTCACTTATCATCCACTCCTACCGAGGTCAATTCAAGTCGCCTCATTCCGAAATTCGTTCAAGTTCAAATTATCAAGTCATTCGCGTGGCAGGATTGTTCCATAAGACGAGCTAGTCCCAACAGGTTCCGATAGTTACCTTGATTTTGTCAACTTGGCCCACTACCACAACGTAAGTTGAAAACCGATCGAACGTGAAATTAAATGAAAAGAAACGTATATGGATTATGTTGGAGTTTTTCACCATTTCGAAGAGATGATAAATTACAGAAGCATGGGAGAAAAGGTTTGTCCGTTTGGGAAAGTCGCCATGGCTCACAGGACATAAGAGTTACTCCTTCACTGGACAGCCCATCAGTGAATTGTTAGGAAATCCTCTTGTGTGTATAACTTCGAGGGATTGATTGATTAACTTCAGAGGTTGATTTATTTCAGTGAAAAGTAGTTCGAGATGACCAATTACTTGGCTCGTTTACACCTCTCGTTTACAAGCGCGTAGCTTGATCATAACAATATCTATTTTTGGAACAGAATGCACCCCTTCGTAATGAGATAAAAAATCCAAAAACTGAATGACAAAAGGAATAAAAGAAATGTGAAAATGTTCAAGCTCCAAAAAAAACGTCACGATAAAGCCGACTGAAAAAGAGGAAATGATTGAGTAGTATCTGGAAGTTTTACAGATTTATATTGCTTTCCGCTTATACACTTCAGGGCCTGAGAAGCATGCAGGGTGATTAGTAAAAAAGCGCAGCTAATAAGTTTAATGAACAGAGCGATGATCAGAAATATCACAGTGAGAGAAATCATACGGAAGGTGAAATGAGATAAAATTATGAAGTAATCTCAGTCGCAAATATTTACCAAGGGAATTGATTTGTGACGCTTTCTACACAACAAAACTTTACCTATCGATCGAACAACCCCTGTCCACCAAAGCTCGTTTGCATTCACATAAGTAGGATCGTTATATATTATACTATATATATATAACGTATATATATATATATATATATATATATATATATNATATATATATATATATATATATATATATATATACATTTGGAATCTCGGGATACAATTGAAAACTCATGGTTTCTCTCGAAATAACCGTCTAACTGAAAATACTCGGTTGTAAGAAGGTGATGATGTTGGCCGAACTTTCTTTTTTTTCATCCTTCGACTTACCATGCACAACCGCAAAATTATATATTCTGTCAAATACAGAGGAATTGGCTATTTTTCAAACGATGTTCATATATTTTTATATTTTTAATATTTTTAATATTTTCTTGATTGAAGATGGATGTCAAGCGGACATCAAGTAGGGAAACTTTCCAAGAATGGCTCAGCGTATATCACTAGGAGCACCTCTCAACCAATGTCTGGGACAAGAAACAGAATCATAGGAATAGCAAATTAGTCCAATAGTTGTTGCACCAGGGAATCAGCAAAAGAGTCGTCTCAAGTGGTGCGTCAACGGGGCTGCATAGATAACACCTATCGATAACGACAAGAAAATGAAATCATCCATAGAAAATATTTTCGCGCGGAACAAACTCATTACCCATCACTGAAAGAAATTCATCTGATTCTGCACGGTTCAACACTTATATATGTGGCACTTCGCCGAGTTTTAGTTATACTACCGAACTTGTGAAATAGTGGCCATCGCAGCCTATACTTTTGCGTCCTCTGCTGGATGCATGATCTCACTGACGTTTTCGTTTCTGACCCGGTGCAATCACGTGAAACCACTGGCTCGTATGGGAGCCCACTTGTCAGTGAAGTGACGTTGGTTTTTCCGACTCATACTGCTGTATTTCCTTATGGACTTCACCGCTGGCTGGGGTACCTTTCGTTCGTACCGTCGTTCGCAGAGTTTATTCGATCCATCGGACCGTGGTGTGCGCTACCTATTGGAGGCAATTGGGTAGGGAGGATATTTTTTGATAACGCTACAGATAACATTTCTACAGCATTGACAGTAATAGCGTGTGGCAGTAATTAATCGTGTACGTTTTGAAGCCATCATCGTACACACTGTCGCAAAAAACTTAGGAGGCCCCCGAATATATACATCGCCAACTGATGTAATAAGTGGAAGAGAACCTATGCGTACATCGTGGGGCCACACTTGATGTAGAGTGAGGGTCCTTTGAATCTGATGAGGCAACATTCGACCTTCAAGAAACGGTTGCAGTACTGAGTGGGTTAGGGTTACGCATTCATTGAAGTTGGCCAATAAATAATTTACCTGAGCTATACCAAACCTAGCTTATCTCCCTCAGTCCTTATGTCGTTGCATAAGAATATGGACAATATGGGCATGATAACTAATGTGGATTTCTTTTGCTTTAAAACAACTTGCCGTCGGAAATGCAACTGCTACTTCACTGCTTCAGTTAATTTTAGTTTGATGCATACGTACAGTAGTAATGTGTGACAGATTAATCGTATTTGTTTCAAAATCACTTTTATTTCATTATCGTACACACTGCCAAACAAAACAAAGGCATCCGAGTATGGAAAGATTGCCTAAGGATATAATAAATAGAAGAGAACATATGCGTGAACTGTGGGGCCACACTTGATGTGTGATGCGATGTGGAGTATCGCACATATCTCAACGTTACTGAGCAACTGTAAAGATTTCATTATTTTATTCAACTCCGAGAACATTGAACGCATGGATAAGGTAAGAGAAACACCCCGCCGTTGTAGCATCCAAATTAGTTTTCGACCACTTCCTCACTACCGAAATTCGTCAGCTTCACTCGACGTTCTGAAAAATGCGAAGAAATGATCTTAACCGGAGAAAGTCGTGCTCTGAGGAGTCTCACCGTCATTCTGCTCAATCATTTGAAAGATTGAAGGACTGGAAAGAATCGTTCGATGAAGTTCTGCTCGAAGTTCATCTGGGAAACTCGGCAAACGTCTCGTAGTCTGGAGCTTGTGAAGGTTAATGCAAAACACTCTTCTAGATAATTAAAATGTGAAGCGTTCAGTCGTGTTCAAAGAATTCCCTTTATGTGCCGTGCTTATGAATGTGCATGTAGAACAGTTCGAAAACATTATGTACGATAAAAGGCAAAGCATAAACTTGCTTGATGCCCCTAAAAGTTGTGACTGGTTGTGTTTAGGGCTTCATCTTCAGTAGTTCGCCAATCGGCACAACATCATTTCCACGGTTGGATAGTACGGAAAGATCAATTAAGAAGCACTAACATTGAGTACAATTCAAAGTTATTCAGAACACGATGACCAAGTTGGCATTAGATGTGATCAAATCTGCGTTTTGGGCCTCCCACTGAAATCTCTCATGTGCTCTATGGATTTACATTTCATCTAACTTAGTTGGAGAGAAGCAATAAAAAGAAAGGGAGGGGGATCTAGTATAATTCAAATCGTTCCTAATAACTGCTTTCCACACCACCATATTCTGCCTTTCCAAACTGTCACAGGGTTATCCGTCAATTCGGCTTTGCTAGTATGCGAGTTCCTTCTTGGTTACAATGAGACAAAAGCAGAACAAAATGCTCTGAAAGCTCTTGATTAGCCCTCTATAGTCTACAACACTGCTAGGTTGCGCTTTGAAAAAATCGGAAGGGGTATCTTGTTGAGAGAGGCCTTGAGAAGAGCGGAGATTCGTTTTCAGAGAATCCTAAAAGGATGAAGCATAAGTTCATTGGCCTTGATCAGTCCCCTCCGGTTGATGCGGGATGCGCTTCAGGCGGAATCTGAGCGACAACCTTACCGAGATTAGAACACGCTTGTCAGAGGTTCGAATCCCGGATATCCGACTAGGCCAACCAAGGCTTCCATCCCTCATGGATCGCTTATTGGTACCAAACTCAGCTGGGAGGATAAAAGCACTGCTTGTACATCGGTTGGCCACGGCAAGTCATTGTTTAGGCCATACCCGCACTCGTTGCACCACTTCGATTCTAGATGGAAGTCGAGTGTGGGGCGCATCCCTCATAGGGGATTGATTAAGCCATAAACTTTATCCTCCATCTTCTATTTTGTACGGCATCTACTGGCAATAATAAAATGGCTGTTGACACCTTCTTTTGTGTTGAGCTCCAAAGGTTCGGAGAGTGCAAGCGATCTCAC